GGGTAGAGATGTCATAGGTGCCATTAAATCTTTCTTTATTTCTGGGGAGTTACTTAGGGAGGCGAATAGTACCCTGATTGCTCTTGTGCCTAAAGTTCCCAATCCTAGTAAAGTGGGGGATTATAGACCTATCTCTTGTTGTAATTCTTTGCATAACTGCATTACTAAGATCCTAGCTAATAGGATCAAAGTTGTGCTTCCTGGTCTTATTGATCTTGTCCAATATGTTTTTGTCCATGGGACGAGAATCTCTAACAATATCTCTCTCTCAAGAGCTCATGCGAGGTTACCATAGAGCTTCTAAGTCCCCTAGGTGTGCTATGAAAGTGGATATTATGAAAGCCTATGATACTTTTAGGTGGGACTTTTTGTTTGACGTTTTGACTGCTATGGCCTTTCCCTCTAATATGACCCAATGAATTAATGCTCGTGTTACCAACCCTTTTGCATTAATGGGGAATTGTGTGGGTATTTTAAGGGTGCTAGAGGTTTAAGACAGGGAGATGTCCTTTTCCCTTATCTATTTGTCATAGTTATGGACATCTTGTATAGGATGTAGGCTAATACTCGTCAGTTTACGTTTCATTGGAGATGTGAGAAGAAAAAATTTGTTACCTCTGTTTCATTGATGACCTGATAATTTTTTATAAGGGGGATAGAGCCACTGTTAGACTTATTAAAGATGCTTTGGTTAAGTTCCAAGCCTTATTTGGTCTTACTCCAAGCCTTGGTAAAAGCCACATGTTCTTTTCTAGGGAGGATCCTTCCCTAAAGACTATCCTGTTGGATACCATGGGGTTTAGTGAGGGTCAGCTCCATGTTAGATATCTAGGTGTGCCTCTCATATCCAATAAACTGAAGTATGTTGATTGTCAATAGCTGACTGATAGGATTACAAAGAGAATCAAACTTTGGACCAATAGGACTCTCTCCTATTCTGGTAGGGTCCATTCTATTCTCTATGCAAGTTTATTGGTCATCTGTCTTTATCCTTCCTACGAAAATCATCAGAGACATTGAATCTCTCCTTAGGTCTGGCCCTAAACTGAATAAGTCAGGGGCCAAGGTGGCTTGGGTTCATCTTTGTGTGGCTAGAAATGAGGGGGGTATAGGGTTTAAGTCCCGAAGCATATGGAACAAAGCTGCTGTCTCCAAACATATTTGGTTTCTAGTTTCTAGGGGTGAGTAGTCTATGTGGAGTCAGTGGGTTAAGTCCTACCTTTTTACAGGAAGGAGTTTCTGAAGTGTTAAGCTGCCTAGTGACCCTTCTTGGGTTTGAGGAAAATCCTAGGTCTTAGGTCTAGCTTGATTCATAATATCAAAATGAAAGTTGGGAATGGGAGGAATACCTTTTTGTGGTATGATAATTGGCACCTTCTTGGCCCTCTGCACCTCAAATGTGGTGATAAGATTGTGTATGACTTTGGCCTTCAAGCCCAGGTGAAAATTGATAGCATCATTAGGGGCAACTGCTGGAATTGGCCTGTTTCCCAATCTTGGGAGTTAATAGAAGTTAAGAACACCATTCCTAGTGAGATGACCCCCTCTAGTAGGGATGATGAGCCCAGTTGGCTCCCTTCACCCAATGGGGCATTCTCCATTCACTCTGCTTGGGAGTTGTTGAGACTTCATGTGCCCAGTGTGTCTAGGAATACGCTGATTTGGTTCAAGTTTCATATCCCTAGGGTGAGTACTGTTGTATGGATGGCTATTCATGGCAGACTTAGTACTTTAAATAGGTTGGTTTTGTATGGGATTAGAAGTTCTGCCCAATGTGCCTTGTGTCACTCCCCGGATGAAGATCATGATCACCTGTTCTTTAGGAGACCCTTTTCCTACAGCATCTAGGGATCTATGCAAGCTAACTGCAATGTTGGTTGGTCTTCCCTGCCCTGGCTTAGCTTTGTGAATTGGCTGACCAGGCATATTTCTGGTAAATCCATGGCTGCCACTATTAAAAAGATTGTTTTTACTAGTTCTGTCTACTGTATCTGGCAGGAGAGCAATTTCAGAATCTTTCAATCTGTATTCTCTCCTGAAAATGTTCTTAAGAAAAGAATTGAGAATCTTATTAGACTTAGGATCCTCGCTGTTTGTAACTTTAGAGAGGAAAGAGCTAATGAGTGGTTTATTAGCAAGTGGAAGCTCCCCTCCACTGTGTTGAAGTTACTTATACCATAATGATGTCTATTCCTGTTTATGCATTGTTTGTACAGTGTTCCTAATGATGATTTGGTTTGTTTTAGTTCAGCATTTTCTTGCAGATCTCCTTGGGCTGTGGGTGTCCTTTGGTGGGAGCTGTGGCCCTTATTTCCCCTAATGATTTACTGCACAGGTTGTCCAGCTGGTACTTTGTTAGGGATGTTGAGGGTTGGGTGATGTGAGCTTATATATGTTAGGTCCATTGGTGTTTATCTTCTGAGGGTTGAGTGGGTGAGCTCCTCATATATGGGTTGAGTGTTGTGAGTATTAAATCATTATCTCTAACCTATGTTACACGGACTCGGGTGCGGGTATCGGGTGCTGGTGCGTATCTAAGGGTCAGACACTTCAAAATTAAAAATGAAGGATATGTGGATATGGATCCAAATTTGGATACGGATACGGGGGTACGCCAAATAATTATTTCTTAAATATATATTTTTTTATACACATGAATTAAATATATATTTTTTTATAAACATGAGTTAAAAAGTTGATACAATAATTTTTTTATATATAATTTATGGACCAAACATATAAATTAACTACATAACAGCCTTCGTTGACTAAAATTTTAATAGGCCCAAAGTTTTACTTATTTGCCTCAGCCCAATTGTTTTAAAAAAAAAATTTATAAAAAGAATAAAATAGAAATATGAAATATAATAAATAAAGAATAAGAGAGAGAGAGAGAGGGGCAGATCAAAAGCAGATCTGGATTAGAAGAGAAAGGCAGATCTGGAATAGAAGAGAAAGGTAGCAAACGAGAGAGAGAGAGAAAGAGAGAGAGAGAGAGACGTGACAGAAAAAGAGAGAGGGGGTTACAGTCGTGCTCGTTGAAGACGAAGACGAAGTCAGCCCTTTCAAAGATGAAGACGAAGGACGCGAGCAGGGGGATCGAAGTCGGCGACAGAGGGATCGATGTCTTGCCCTTTTGAAGTCGGCGACAGGTTCTCTCCTTACTCTCTTCTCTTTCGTTTCTTCTCCCGTATCCATTTGTACAGAGCTGTATCCCGACCGTATCCCGCACCTGTACCTGTGTCGTGTTGTGTCAACACGGGTACCTCCCAAAAAACGAAGAGTCCGTGTAACGTAGTCTCTAACTGTTTGCTGTGCAGATTTGTCTAGCTGGTACATTTGAGTGAGGGAGTTCCTTTGTTGAGGGATGAGTGAATTTAGCCCTAAATTATTTCTTGAGTGCATATTCCAGTGTGTGGGTTGAGTGTGGTGAGCCAGATATGTGTTGTGCTGTGTGTGTTCTATACCATACTTTTGTTCCATTAGAGGTTTGAGCTTGTTCCATCATTGTGCTGTGGAAGTTTGGGCTAGCTGGATGTTTACAGGATTTTGTGTATCTCCAATTTTGCTAAAGAAGATGGATGTTGGTGCTGCCTGACCCCTTTGAATACTGCTGGTCATAGTTAGCAGGATTGGATTCTGAAGAGCTGTTTTATAGAGTCCTCTTCTTTTAGTTTATTTAATTATCATGTTTTGCTACTCTTTGTATGTAAATGCTGGTCATATCTTATTTTCATCTTACTTTGCTTACCCATGCGAGCTGTGCATGTTGTTTCTCTTTGTTTAGGCCTGTTCAATGCCCCATATTTCTTCTATATGTGGTTTTTGAACAAGATGAGGGACAATAGCTGTTTTTAATTTGTTTTTGTCTGTCTTTGTTGCTGAAGGCAGCTTGTTGGCTACTTCTGCAGTTGCTCTTGAGGTTTAGAGCAGGTTGATGTTATTTCTTAACGTTTAGAGCAAGTTGTTGGATGCTGCTCTTTGATTTCTCCAGCTCCTGCTGCTGCTGTCATTATCTGGCTGCTGCTGTTGTCTTTTGCTACTGATGTTGCAGATATTTTGTCTCTAGGTTTTGTAGTTTGCTCTCCTAGTTAGGGGCTTTGTTTGTTTTCCTTTCTAGTTTCTTTCCAATTTAGTGTTAGTGTCCTTTGTTGTTTCTTGTTAGCTTTAGGGCCTGGGGTATTCCACTTGTAATCTTATATACTTTACTATTTTATTTCATAACTTAACTACCCAAAAAAACAATATATGTTGGACCTCGGTGTTTTCTCTATGACGAATTGGGCCAGTGTTGTTGCATGTTCACAGGCTCTCTAAATTTCCCAACAAGTGGTATCAAAGCCAATGGCTAACAATCTATGGGCAGACTCTCTTGGTTGAAACAATGTTGATGGACTTGTAGAGACTCTCATAGGAGCAAGAAATATCTATGACTAACTCTTGATGCAACAAGAAAAATCTAGGTGCATGCAGTTGATGGGTTAATGCAGGACTTGCGTGCTCTAAGTTGGCATGCATACAACGGCGTCTAGGAGAGGTAATAGACAAACAACCTTCCCCCCAAGCCAAGCAACATCTAAAAGGATGACAGATCTAGATATGTTCATCACTATCAGATTAATTTAGGAGTTGTTATTATACTACTGATGTCAACAAGCTCTTAACACCGACCATGAACTTAAGAGTATACAACTGTTAGTTAAATTTTCTAGTGCTATCCTTTAAATTAATCCATGTGGTCCGGAAGCAGCTTTTGAGGAAAATGTCTCGTACGCTTCCTAGTATCACTTGTAAGCTGACACATGCTTTGAAACAAGTTAACCTTAAAAAGGTTCGCAATATTATAAATTAAAACTATAGTAGCAGATGGCTTCCTTCATACAGTTTGTATAAAACCACTAGACGAGAGCTTCACGAGTATATCAGCAGCTATATCGAAAGAGTAACTGGAAGAGAAGTGGCAGCATTCCAGAACTGGACAGATTATACAACTGACTGACCTTGTCTATAATGATGCAAACCTTGCCAAACAGATTATCTGGGATGGAATAGCACTGTAAAACGTCTTGTAAAACCTATAACAATGAGAGAAATTCAACATAAAAATGACCCATCTAAGTTCCTTAAAATTCAGAAAGTACATATCATAATTTCAAACTGATATGTAAACAAAGAAACATGATCATATGCATCCAAAATAAAACTCTATGAAATGTGATGTGATGTAGTCAAAAAAAACAAAACCAAGCCTTGTGTCACAATCAATTCAGGTAGGTTACATGAATCAAAACAGAATTTGAGCCTTGTAACAAAATAAACCCTAATTTCTTAATTTTTTCAATTTAGACACTTATCTTTTGATTTGTTTCCAATCTAAACCATCCTATTTTTGTTAAGTAAAATTGATGGAAAAATGGTATTTTAAGTCATTAAACACAATGAAAAATGATATTTTAGACAATTTTTTACTTTTCCTTACACCAACATTGAGTTTAATGACTAAACTACCCATTTTTCCGTCAATTTCACTTAATAAAAATAAGCGGATAGTTTAAATTGAAAACAATTCAAAAGATTACGGTTGAAATTGACAACATTTAACTCCAGGTTTATTTTGTTACGAGGCTCAAATCTTGGGAGGTTTTTTCTGTAATAGTCCTTTTTTTTCACTTCAATATTTCTTGTCAATTTAACTACTCCCCTCCCCCTAGCATTTCCATTAACATTGATCATATCACTCTTCCTTACCATTGTATCTACCAGTCATTATTATATATGACCAAACCATTTTAGTATGTTCTCTCTCAACTTATCTTCAACTTGTCTACGCCTACCATTTCTCTAATGTATTTATTTCTAATTCTATCTTCCCATGTTTTACAACACATCCACCTTAGCATCCAACTACACACATATTAATGTGTTGTTTCTTAGTTGTCCATTATTCTATCCAGTACAACATTGTTGGCCTTATAGTAGTTCCATAAATTTATTTTTTCAGTTTAGATATTCTCTATCAATTGCATAAACATGCCAAAATCACTCCACTTACTAATAATCTTCAACCTATTAATAATTGAATGTAGATAGCGAAATTGTTCACTCTTGGGTATTTCTTGGATTTCGATCATGTACTTTTCTACGTTTTTTTTCCTTCTACTTTTGTTGTTTACTAAAATCACATTCTATGTACTCAGTTTAATCCTACTTATTTTAAACTCTTTCCACTCAATTACATCCAAATTTCTAGTCTAGTGTTAATTCCTCTTTTAATCTCATCCATTAGGACAATATCATCTGCCAACATCATACCAAGTGTTACAGGGTCAATTTTCGAGTTAAATTTTCAGCCTGCAATGGCACTAAGTTACAACACTTAGTCCCAGCCAAACATGCACGAATTACTCACAATGAGGTTTGTAAACAAACAAGCATACACAAACACATTACAGGAACTATTCCCAACCTTTATTACCACTAGATAATATAAGGATACAAGAGCATTCGTACAGGTTACACCCTCTGCCTGAAACTCTCAATGCCTTAGCATTTTGAAGGCAATTACAAAACTGCTATGAGCAGTTGAAAACCCCCAACTGCTAGGGTAAATTCAAACCAACAAAGGCTACTGCAGAAAGTAACTGCTGGTAACCGCCAAGACTGCCTTGGACCAGATCCTAAATTTCAGCCTTCTTTGTCATAGCTCCTTGCAAGCATAACTGCCAATAACTGCCATATCTGTCAGCCTTGCATCATGCCAACATAACTGCCATGAAATGCCATCTATGTCAGCCTTTAAACCCTCTTGAGTTTGACCCACGAATTTGTGAGTCTTGGTCTGCCATTAAGTGTCAAGCCCATTGATATGTCTGACCCAACAAGCCCATGCTGCCAGCAGCATTCGGGCTAAGTCTAGCCTTGCATTTGCACACACAAAGCATCACTTGTCTTCGAGTCTTGTGGCATTGCCACTGCAACATTGTTACCTTGACTTAGGCATGCCTGCCACCGCATGCCAACCTAAGTGTCCATGTCCTAAGGTGCTAACACCAAAGCACTTCATCATAATTTAGTGTTAATTCCTCTCTAAATTTCATCCATCAGGACAATATCATCTGCCAACATCATAAACCAATGCACATCATCCTGAGTGTGTCTAGTCAATTCATCCATAACCACCGCAAGTAGGTAACCAACTAGGCTTTGCCTAGTTAGCCACCCTGACTCTCCTAAGGGTTCAATCCCAAGGGGGAGGTCATGGGTTCAACTCTTCCTAAGGGAGAGTTGAATTAGGAGACAAGCACTTGGTGCTCTGGAAGGGTGGGGAGGCTTGCTCCCATTGGTGCTAATAACAACCAATATTTGCTGATAAAAAAAAAACTAGCACAAGTAGGTAAGGAGAATCATCGGTGTAATCTTACAATGATTGAACATTTACTTATTACAATTGAAGGTGGCTTCTTTTTTCTTTTCTGTTTTTTCCTCTTTTTTTTTCCTCTTTTTTTTTTTTTTGATCAGCAACAAAACAAAATATTATTAAATAAGGAAAAATATTACAATAAAGAGAGGACCAAAGATCCAATATAAAAATAAAAACCAAAAAAAGAGATTATTAATCACACACTACTCTCCAATCTCTACAAATCAAGAACAAAAGAATCTTCGTTAAGGAGAAGACACTTAAGAAGCACAAACACGGACATGAGACAAAATGATTTTGAAAAAAATTAGGATACGGATACTACAAGGATAGGAAAATTTTGTTTTATATATTTTTGTTTCTCCTGTAAATGATTATCAATTTAGGGCAGAGAGATATGAGAGGCCTCAATTTATGTCATTGTATTTCCTTTCGCTCGTCCCCCTCTTTGTTTCAATATGTTTCACTTTGACCCCATAACAAATTTCTAAAATTCTAAAACAAAACCTGCGAAAGTGTTTTGAGACATGTCTAGACACAAAAAATGCGTCCATCAAATGTCCCAAATGTGTCTTGAAAAAAATAATAATTAAAAAAATTGACACGCCACATGGTACAGACATGTGAACATGTCATGTTGGACACAGACACATCACCCATCTTGGAGTATTTGTGCTTCTTAGGGAGACACTAAAACCCAAAATGAATTTAACTAACAAACCCTATTCATAACTCTCCCAATTCATCAAAACTTATCTTCAAATATCCTTGCATTTCTTTCCGACCATAGCATCTAAAGAACTACACATAGTGAAGCGTTCCATAAAGCACCAACCTTTGTACTAGAACGCAAGCCCCTAAAATCAATCTAAATCATTTGAACACTAGAAGGAGCTACCTAATCCATATTCCATAGTCACAAGAGAAAAAATCATCTAGACATAATACACCAATGATGTAAAATGTGATTAAGTTTCTGTTTTTTGGATTAAATAAATCATTGGTATTGAACTCCTTGTGTCCCAAAGACCATGCAAACACAACTTTGAGAGCCATAAATGCATTCCAAAGGGTAAATTATGCCATTGGTCATTATGGTTTAGGCAATATTTCACTTTGACCCCCATAGTTTTCAATTTCATAAATTTTAATCCTACATTACCATTTATATTTCCATGTAATCCTTCTGTCAAATTCCGTAAAAATGTTAACATAAATGTCCACGTGGAAATCTTCCCTCTTATACACGTGGACAGTTTCTATTAACATTTTGTAACAAATTTTAACAAGGTAACTACATTAAACCTGTTAGATTAGTTATATGTTATTTTATTTTTGGTTTATGTTAAGTTAAGGGTACTATGGTCATATTGTATTGTCACTTTTTATCTCTATAAATATATGGTTTTGGCGGAGGGTTTAATTAAGAAACCCAAAACCGTATTCTCTTCTTCTCTCATTCTCTCCTCTCTTTTTCTCTAGCCTAACCATAGTTTTACATATTTTACACTCTTAACTTGGTATTAAAGCGTCCGATTCTACCCTAGCAAGTGTTCAACAAGCTCTAGAGATCGACGTGAGGTGACTGCAACGTGCTAGCGTCATCATCCATACGAACAAGTTGGTCTCTCCAAGCTCGGGCTCTCCTCCTAAGATTTATGGTAATTTTTGTGGAATTTTTTGACCATCATTAATGTGAGTTTTCGAATTGTGGTCTCATTTTTTTCAATCTAGGTTTCAGCTGATTCATGGAGGATTCTGTTTGTTGAAATCAGCCCTATGGGTGCCGACTAGACAATAGCAAAGTGTTTTTGAGATTTGTTTGAAATCAGCCCTATGGGTGCCGACTAGACAATAGCAAAGTGTTTTTGAGATTTGTTTGTGGATTTGTTGGTGTTGGGTTGAAGTTTATTTGTCTATTTTTGTTGTTCCTGGTATTTGGCTCCCTCACTGCTGCTATATTCTCTGTTTTTTTTTTTTTTTCTTTGAGATACATTGTTGCTCTAGTTTAGGATTGCTAAGTCTTGTAGATTCTCATTTGTGATACATTGTTCTTGTGAGCTTATCTGTGTTGCCTTATCTTCATATTGCTGTTGTTGATTCTTATGGCTGAGGCAAAACCCCCAGTGGTTAAGGATGATGAGATTCCTAAATCTATTGTCACCAAGAAATTAAATGGCTTGAACTATTTGGCTTGGGCTCATGTTGTCAAGGTTTTCTTGCGTGGCAAGAAAAAAATATGCTTTCTTACTAAGCTCCCTCCCAAATCAAATGATGCGTCCTACAATGATTGGTCAAGTGATGATTCCAGGGTTATGGAGTGGCTTTGGCATAGTTTGGAGCCCCATGTTGCTACTACTGTCAAATTTTGTGAAACCTCTTGAGAGATTTGGGATTCTCTGGCTGACTCGTTTTCCAATCAGAGTATTGTTTCTAGAGCCTATGAGTTATGTAAGCAGATCTTCGCTACTCGCCAATCTGGCCAGTCCCTCTCTGACTATTACAATGGCCTTAAGAATTTGTGGGATCAGTTATTGCAACCTCGACCCTTTACTACTGATTTGGCTCAACAGAAGAAATATTGGGAAGAGTTTATGATGGCATCCTTACTCTCAAGCTTAGATTTTGATTTGCGGGGTTACAAGGATCAGATTT